TAGTAATTTTTTTGCAGAATCTGTGCCAAAACCTCAATCAGAAGCTACATAATAATGCAGGAGAGGGTGGAGAAGTCCAATGAGTATCCAGTTAGACCCGTTACGGCCAGCCTGGCAGATGAGACTCATCACTGCTTCCAGTGAACCGGGAAGAACTCCCTGCAGTGCTTTATATAGATTCTAGTCTAAAGCCTTCACTAGATTGTCAAGGCCAGTGAATAAAATACATATTGTTTACTACCAGCTCAGTATGGAATTCTTTCAAGTTGCTGCAGGTCTGTACAACTTATTGAATACATTTCCTGTGGCTGATTTATGTGACCAGCACCTCCAGTGAAGCTGTACACAACCCTCTGTATTATGATTATCATAAATAGAAGTACCAAAATTAAGTGATTGTGGTAGAACATAGCTGCCTTTTTGTCAATGGCACCACTGTAATGAGCCCAGTATGACCAGCCATATGTATAAACCTGTCAACCAGTATACATTTTTATGAACATTATTGACTCCCAATAACAGTTCATGTGATTTAAAGCAGCAATAAGAAAAATTATTTGTGTGTAATATCATATGACAACTTACTTGGCTTTAAGAGTTTCTTCCTGGAAATTCCATGATGTATCTTCCACTAATTGAAGCTCTCGTAAGACCCGTCCAGGTTTATAAGCAGCATTAATTACCATACTGAGGACCTGTCACAGATATATAGTGTTAGTAGCTGTACAATTGTCAAGTTTAAATCATGAAAGAGCAATTGTTTAAGTATTTATTCATATGGAAGAATTAAAGCCAATAGAATGCATTTTTTTTTTGAACAGAGTGGAAGATTGAAAATGTCTGTCCCTGTGATGCCTGTATAAGAAATAGGGGTTCCATTGTCACTGGGACAGAGAGGCAGCAATAGAAATACTATCAGAAGTTCTAGACCTGTATACCTGCTGGGGTTATTGATTGCAAAATAGTTTAGTATTCACTTTTAGTTTTTTCAGTTGTTTTATGCTAAGTATAATGCAATGCACGGAGTTGGACATCTCAAACCAGGCCGGTAGGAACAGTCAGTAACTTAGGTTTTTGGATGGATATAATATGGATGAAGAACAACCAGTGGCGTAACAATCGCCATAGCGGCACAGGCGGCCACTATGGAGCCCAGGGCACAGGGGGGCCCGGCCAGGACATCCCCTGATGCCGTGCGGGCCGCCAGGGTTGCTATGGCATCTCAGGCTGCTGTGAGGATGAACGTTTCGTTGTTAGATCACCGACAACCTGTCAGTGATCTGTGCAGCGGCGCGTGTTACCGTATGAGTTTATGTCAAATCTTCATAAGACATATGTATATAGTTTTATTTCTTGTTTTAAATAGTTCCCCGGAGGTGTTGATAGCTTGTAGGGAAATAAAGTCTTTGTTGTGCTTATCACTGTGGAGGGGAGTGCCAGGCCCAATGAATTGCAAATAGGGTCATTGTTGAGCCCAGGCATGTCCAGATAATTACCATAGAGGTGCAACTTCAGTATACTGTGTATGAGGAGCCAAGACCCTTTGATCTAATAACAAGTAGACTGGCCAATCGTAGAGAGGGGTGTGGAGTTGTAAAGAGTGTCTTGCAAACCCTCCAATCCCCAGTTGGCCTTGGGAGGCAACCAATGGGAGACTTGTCATGCATCTCTATGGACACGAGGGGTATATTAATGACTGGAAAAAACAGCTCGGTCTCTTTTCACCAGGATGGGGCCTCATGTGACGATTAATGGGTAACTATACAGATAATCTTTCCCCCACTTAACTGTTTGTCTGTTAGATACCAATGTCTGGGTATTTGGCATGTTTAAATCTTTTCTTTGTATGTTGTAGTTAAATAGATTGTTGGTTCATTGTATTTAAGTCTTGATACTATATACCAATAAATTCTGTTATTGTGTTGAGCTCAAAAATCTCATGAATGAATCCTTAGAATATTATACCTGTAAGTGTGAATGCTTATATAGCGGTTCATAACTTAAAATAGTAATTCAGGTAACACGCGTTCGTCCTCACAGTCGCTGCTGAGTCAGTGACAGCCCGCAACTGTGGAGGTAGAAGGTGGGCCCGGCGATGGAAGAGGAGGCGGGGCCTGGTGACAGAGGAGGCGGAGCCTGCCAGTGACCATGTAGGCAGACAGCGGATCGGGGCTGACAGGTAAAAGGCGTGCAGCCCACCTGAGACCCTGCAGTGCCCACCATAGAGAGTCTATGGTGGGCTCTGCAGGGTCACTCTCAGGTGGGCTGTTTGGGATATCAGGTGGGCTCTGCAAGGTCATAACTAGAAATCACATACAAACTTTTGCTATGGGGCCCTGTGATTTCTAGTTACGCCCCTGAGAACAACTATTTATACAACAAAACATACTGTGCCCAAACTATGAATAATAAAGTATTTACAAATATCTAACCATCAGAAAAGGAGCTTTAACACAAGCCTTCACTGACCTATGTAGTGGCAGGTACTGTAAAGTAATTTATTCTTTAAAAATGCCTTAACGATCACAACACAGACTCTTAAAGTGGACCGTTTACCCCCTCTGACTACAAATCACATCAGCATACAGCTCTGCATGCTTATATGAAATCATATTACATTCATTAGCTAAATAAATCTATATTTGTTTCACTTACAATGTCTTTTTTTCTACTTCTTGGTCCACTTTGGCACAAATGATGTAATTTGCCCAAGCATTGTATCCTGGGAAGGTTAAAACAGCAAAGCATTGCTAGGAAATCTCATCTGTAATCTCACAAGATCTCAGAGAAAGACATTTCCTTCCCTTGAGATGATGTGCATGGTCATGACCTAGTCACATGTTCCAGAGTTCCAGGAAGTAAAAAGAGATCTAGTAATCTGCCCTTAGTAAAAATAGCCATTGTCAGAAAACTGGGGAATAAAAGAGAAATAAGGGATGCAACGAATACAAAGCCTGCAATTATCTAGAAGTATGTTTTTGTAGATTGTCATTACTAAACATTTCTAAAGGTGCCTTTCTTGTTATTTTGAAGATATGGGTAAAGTTCCTTGATAAGTCAGATGGTAGCAGGCCCTTAACAACGTACATCACCTGGTGTTTTCTCACTTTAGAAAGCTGGAAGTCTGTCAAGTTTGAGATGTCAGAGAGAAGCTGTGATATTAGTGCCTCTGCTGTAAACTTTGAAGGTTTATTTCTCCATCATGTCTATCGCTACAGAGGTCAGTTAAGGCTTGGTTTGCTTGATTTTACTGCTTGTTTGAAAAATGTTAATGCTTTAATGTGCAAAGTTGGGCCACTGGTACACTTTAATGTCAACTTCTTTTGAAAAAATATATAGGCTGATATTGCCTTTGAAAATGCTAAGTTTCCTGGCTGTAATGCTGATCAAAAGCCTTCTATACTTCTGACTATCCTCTATCTGTGTGATCGTTCCAGTTCAGTGATGGCTGGGCACTAAAAGAACATAAGGGCCAAAAACAAACAAGAAACTAATATTTTCAATAGGTGGACAACAATGGCAGCCTGCATATTTTTTGTCATCATGGATTTTCTTTAAATTAGTGATATAAACTGGAGCCTCAACTGTGGCCAAGTAGTATTTACACCATGGACTTCTACACTGCCACTACTGCTGCTCTTATTTGATTTTTGCAACACTGATGTATGCTGAATTATAAGAAGTCCATAAAGTATGTTCTGAGAAAAACCCAGGAGTTCTGTGGTACAGGGTTAGTTTTGTAACAGAATAGCAGTAGCACATTATAGTTATAATTAGACACCGCACTAGCATACGAACTACAGTATATATTATGCATTCATAGTACATTGCACAACCCTGGTACTGTCTGTACAGGCCATCAATTCCTATTTATATTTCTCATCCACTACTCAGTAGCACAATGTCCCTATTACCAATGTTATCCTGGCTCTACAGCAATTCCTGAATTAAAGCCTGAAAATACTGAACAGAAAAGCTGTACTCCCTACATACACCTCTATGTTTTCATTCTGATTGGATTGTGTCTTTAGGCTCTAAACAACACTTCACACTTGTATATTTTACACATATGTAATTCAACAGCAATGCAATAAACAGAGCTATACAGATGTATAATAATGTGCCCGTTGTAAAATAAACGCAGGACCCCAATGTTGTGGGACTATCTCGCATTATCTCGTTATAGTACTCCAAATATTGCATATGGGAGGGGACATTATTACACCTAGGGATGAGCAGACATACTAAAATTTCATCGAAGCAGAAACTCTCCATTTTGCTCATTGATCTGCTTAGTGAAAATGTGTGAAAAGTTCTATTTTTTGACTGTTATTTGTTTACTGCTACTGTTTTTTATTTTATTTATTCTATTTGTCTTGAAAAAAATAAAATAATGAAGGGTCATTTTTTGGCACAAGAACAAGTCCAGGATATTTGAATGTAGTTTCCATAACCCTCAGGAGTTATTTATAGCTGACCACACTCTAAAAAAAAATCAAGCAGCCTCAGGTTGTCTTTCCTATTGACTTCAATGCAGTTTTACAAAATGTCACTGTTTTAATACTGCTCATCCCCCATTGCAACACATTATTCTACATTTCTGCCTTTCGATAAAACACCTTTTTTTCTATTTAAGAAATGTTTTCCCTCTTCCATTGTTGCTGCAGATGAAACAAATAATCACATTGTTTATTGCCAGATAAACTGCAGTATATGTTACCAGTGTATAAATAATCTTGTACATGCGAGAAATAATGCTGGGTTATCAGTTTCTTTTCTCTATAGTGAGTAGGAAGCAGTATGTGAAAACAGTCAGATCTACTTTAATGCTAGTTAGGTCACTAATCTCTTTAACATCATGCAGTGTTCAAGCTGAACACATTAAGCATGTGGATTTGTAAAGCATTAGATTTTAGTTCTAATGTAAGCTGGTCAATTATATGGGCAAATATGCTAATGCAAATATGCACAACTCCTTTTTTTTGCAGATGAATTGCCCTTGGTAGTTAATTAAACATACAACATCCGCTCTTATGATCAGCCTGGAGAATCAAATAATGGCATACAATGACAGCCTAAAACATTGGGAACACCTGCTTTTTATTGAAATAGGATGGCATGGGGAATTTGTATTCCACACATCATGCGTGCATAGGACATGAAGTAAATGAAGATTGAGAAAGGGGTATAGATCTATGCAATGTGTCAGATGTAAAATTCATATTGACAATCCCTTTTATTCCTAGTACATTCCCACTGCGAGTTCCTGACCCACAAATGAGATTCAGAGGCTAAATTGAGAAAGGGGTAGAGATTGTTAATTTAGCAAAGTGAATGTTCACTTAGTCTAGTAAATAACAAAATACTGGATTCACTTCAATAATTCCATCATGTGCAAGGGAACATCTTGTATTTTTTAATTCCCTTACACATGTTTGGGTTTTTAGACTGAACACAGCTTCACCTTATTTAGTAAACTAAAGGAAGATTCACGTTTCTAAGTGAACAGTATGTACACCTGTCATAGATTAAAGTCCCCTATATCACTGCTGTAACATATACCTTTCTAGAGTCATATCATGTAGACTGTGTTTATCCAGGCATATCGAGGACAAATGTCGAAAGGCTTTTGTTTTTGGCAAAAAACAGGTTGCTGCATTTTAGAAGGAAGTAAACTGCAAGTCTGAAGGAGGTCAACTGCACCTATGAATTATGTCTAAATGATCTCAGATGAGTTTTAAACTAATCTCAAATGCAAGCATAATGAGCCTGATAGCAAGCTGTTTTTGCCCATCGATATACGTGATCAGTCCATTGTAGGGAAAAATGTATTTCAGCACTTATTTCTTACACAAAAGACAAATTTATAGAACACAAAAATAATATTTCCCAAAGCAAAAATTAGTTTGTTCAATTTATGGTTTAGGATTCTAAAATACTTCCATCTGTGGGTGATTTAGATCAGCAGTGTCATCAGATCAGTAATGAACATATGGTCATAAATTTAAACTCTTGTCTGTAGCACACAAATTATATATTTCTGTGGCCACACACTTGGGTATAAATATAGCCTAGCCTTTGTAATTATATATCTTAAAACCTTGAGCAGTTAACAGGCACTTCACTTTTGGGAATGAGCTCTTCACAAGACTAGGAGAGTAGCTCAAACACCCTTCAGTATTGCAAGTTATAACTTTAAAATCATTCATTGCTAATGACGCAAACTGTTTTTGAAGAGAAGATTCCTTTAAAGCACAAATCCAGCCAAAGCTTTTATTTCTTATATTGTATAATATTATACTTTATGTTTTGAATAGAGCAGGGAAGGGATAGAGCCACTGTCAGATTTTTTTGCCATAGGTGTCCCTAATAAGGAGATTTTTCCTTTCATTTCCTGTCAGATGTGACTGGACGCCCTCCTATGGATGTACAGAAAAACACAGGAACAGAGATGAACAGTTAGAGCTTCTGACAGTGGGATGGGGGTCTAGAGACCTGCTTTAACTTTCAGCGCCACGTAGCTTCACTCAGAGCCAGTGCACACAAAAACTGCAAAATCATCTGCAGAACTTTGGCTAATATACCAAAAGGTTAAAATCCAATCTACAAAATGCATCATGTATTTTATGACAATGACATAAGTTTTTCATCAAAGCATTCCACTACTAGCAAACTCTTCTCCCTCCACATTTCTAACCTTTAAAATCCACAACAATAAGGACATTAGCAAAATCATATTTAGGAATAAAAACAGTAGGGAAAGGTCTAATGATATCAGACATAGAGACTGACTTGCAAAAAGAGTTGACATTATTGATGAACATTCTCAATTCCTTTAGTAAGTTAACCAAATTATGTTATATCCTATATGTGTTATTCTATTCATTAGCTAGAATTCATTGTGCCAAAATGAGAAGTATTCATTTCTGGAATTGTACTATATCACTATTATACTGAAGTAAAGTAAAGCAATGTCTTAGCTTTAGAAAGAGCTGGGGCAAAATTGAGCATTTGGCAGGTTTTTGTTGTCTGCCTGTGTGGGAAAATGGCACTCACTTTCTATACCCATGGTTACTGTCTCTGGGTAAGGCAATCAGGGGATATCCTTCCCAAAGGGATAAAGACAGCATCAACAATAATAGCTGTATCCCTGCTGACTGTTTAGCACAGTTATACATGTAAAACACTCACTATCATTCTTAAAGTATATGTATAGTCATTTTTTTTTTTTATAGGGAAGGTTCAAAATCCATCACCTTCTCTCCCAATGAGAAGATTTCCCTTCACTTCCTGGCGTAGAGGCACAACATGAAGTGAGATGAAATCTCTACAAAGTGAGGGTATTTTCCAACAGCTGTAAAAATGTTGGATTTCCCATCATCTTAAATGATCATCAGGATATATACATAGGATGAATCCAACTAGCAAGAAGACAAGCAGTAATAAAAACCTAACCCTTCCCTATTCTATCCCAAAAAATATTTTGGCTATATATATACTTTCATACAGAAACAATTAAATCAAACAGTTTATTATATCAAAATAATATCTGAGAATCATACCTCCTTAAGAACCAAAACACATTTTCCAGGACCCACTGACTGAGGTAGTTCTGCTATCCGACCTTTATTTAAATATGGTCCTGAAAAGCAGCGGTGATTGATATACAGTCTGGGACAACAGTATTTTCCATTGCTGGTTCCTAGTTACAAAGGACAAGAAATTATGATAATGTGGACATTTTTACCAAATATCACAATTCTTTGTACATATGACCTTATAAATGTGTGTTACTGATTGAATTAAAGTGCCTATTTACTATATATATATATA